TTTGATAAAGTCAGCCTCTAGTCATCTGATTTCAACCTGTGGTTGCTTGCCCCATGCTAACCTGCTCTGGAATTGTTCTTGAAAATCTGGCACAGGGTTGGCAAGGACTTGTGATGAATCACTTCCTTTCCTGGGGTCGCCACGTTCCCTATGTATCTTTGCAGAGCTTCTGAGGTTTCTGCTAATGAGGCCAACATCTGTATTGGTTAGGGATTGTGTTTGCTAGGTAAAAGGACCTGGCTACTGTAAACTTATAAGGTTTATTCTCTAACATAAAAACAAACAAACAAACAAAACAGAGATAGGCAGTTCAGGTTATTTCGATGGTTTCTTCATGAAGTTACGAAGGACCCAGGCTCTTTTCCTCTTTCTGCTCTGTCATCCTTAGTACAAGGCTTTCATATTAAAGGTGACAATGAACCTGCTGAAACTCCAGCCATCACATCCAAGTTCCAGGCTGCAGAAAAGAGAATAAAAAGGAGAAAATGGCAAAAGGCCATGCCCCTCTAGAGGGCTTTCGCAGAAGTTCTACCCAATGACTGATCGCATCTCATTGGCCAGAAGTTAGTTGTAGGTCATAACTATCTCATGAGGAGGCTGAAAAATGTAGTTTTTTACCCGAAGACACCCTGAATAAAATCAGGGCTCTATAATTAAGGAAGAAGGAGAAAGTGTTTGTGGGTGAGCAAGGAGCAATCTCTGCCAACAGGTTATTAGCCTCGTCATAATGTGGCTACTCATCCCTTACCTCCAGAACAATGTGGAAGTCAGTTCTTTGACTTTCTTTATCTTTGCTCCAGAAACTGATGATTTCCCTTTCTGAGTTGGTTGTCTCTCTGTTGACAATCAGGGAGTATTATTTCTATCCTTTAAGGGAAGACTGATGTTGTTAATATCCTTCCTTTTGACTTTATCAAGTGGAAGCAGATTACATTTATTTACACTTTCAGTTGCCTATTTTAGATTTGTACAGTTGCAGTATGTATGGATGAGGCATAGTCATGTGTCAGAAATATCAACCCTTTGTCCTAGACCCTAGGTTGTGGCCTTGAACCTGATAGAGGCAGTATGGTGTAGTGGAAAGAGTTGGGGCTCTTAGATCCTAGTCTTGGCTTTACCAGATTCTAGAACCTTGGGCAGTCAAACACAATCCCTAATCAGTACAGGGGAGCTCTGGTAGCATAGTGCCTAAGGCACTTGACTGCTAACCAGAAGGCTGGGGGTTCAAACCCACCAGCCACTCCTCAGAAGAAAGGTTGGGCAATCTCCTTCCTTAGTAATACTGCCTTGGAAACCCAAGGAGGGGTTGTTATGAGTCGGGTCTGACTTGATGGCAAATAACAACAACAATCGATACAGTCTCTGTAAGGCTCCTTAGAGCCTCTAGGTTCTGCTGAGGGACCACCCAGGCAGGGGCAGCCTCTGGCTGGTTCCAGATTCTCCCAGACCAGCCCTGCTGTTATCCACCCTGCTTAGTTGTTGTTGTTATGTACCGTTGAGTCGACCCGATTCATAGTGACCCCTCCTTGGATTTCTGAGGCAGTATCACTACAGAAGTAGATTGCCCAACCTTCCTTCCAAGGAGTGGCTGGTGGGTTTGAACCACCAGCCTTCTGGTTAGCAGTCAAGTGCCTTAGGCACAATGCTACGCTTAGCAGACCATCTAATAAGCTATCATTTGTGAAGTGGAGGGGTAGAAAGGGGGATGAGGGGGAAGGAAGTTTGCTGCTTTGAAAAATAGCTTTGAAAAGTCCTGCAAATAAAGACTCTTTAAGGTTTCTATTTTAAAGACCAGCTCCCTGTATGCCATCATTCATGTTTACCTTCTTTTGGATAATGGCTGGGTGAGGGAAAGAAACCTGGAAACAAAATCCTTTGAATTAAAAAAGAAAACATTTTTATGAAGTCGATTCCTATGAGTCGACTCATAGAATCCTGTGAGACAGAGCAGAACTGCTCCATCACGCTTCCAAAGCTGTAAATCTTTGTGGGATCAAACTGCCACATCTTTCTCCCACAGAGTGGCTGATGGGTTTGAACCACCAACCTTTCAGGTAGCAGCCTAGTACTACCAGGATTTCTTTTGAATTCAAGGATAATTGAAAACATTAATTATTTTTAAAATAATGAATTATTTGGCTCTGTCTCCCTCCGACTCTGCATTTGGATAATGGATGAACTATGTAAACTACAGATTGCTTAACAGATGTGCTGTGTGACACCAGCCAGTTCTTCATTTGGGCTCTTTTCTGGAGGAAAGTGAACCGGTATTTTTATGTTAGGCGTTATGCTCTAGACACTTTGTATACCCCATCTCATCCTTCTAAAAGCCTTCTCAGGTGAATGATACTGTCCCTACTTTACAAATATGAGTGACTTCTCTGTGCAGGCTTGAGTTAGATACCACCTGTTGCCGTTGGGTCGATTCCAATTCATAGTGACCCTATAGGATAGAGTATAACTGCCTCATAGGGTTTCCTAGGCTGTAATCTTTATGGAAACCGAGTGCCACATCTTTCTGTTGCCGAGTGGCTGGTGGAGTCGAACAACCAACGTTTTGGTTAGCAGCTGAGTGCTTAGCCACTGTGCCACTAGGGCTCTTTGAGCTAGGTACTTCAAGCCAAACCAAACTCACGGCCATCGAGTCGATTCTGACTCATAGTGACCCCTATTGGGTTTCTGAGGCTGTAAATCTTTACAGAAGTATATCACCCCATCTTCCTTCTGCAGAGTAGCTGGTGAGTTTGAACCTCTGGCCTTCAGGTTAGCAGCCAAATGCCTTATCCACTATACCACAAGATGTCCTTCTGAGGTAGGTACTAGGGATACAAAAATTAAAAATCTTCAGAGGACTCAATTGACCAGCTCTATCTAGGACACCACTCAATACCACATTTTCATTTTATCTTTAGTAGCTGAACCCTGGAAATACCAATTGTGAACCAGCCCAGGTTTAGATAGCTTTCGTTCTTGGTATTTAATAACCTTGACTATTCAGCATTGTCTTAAAAGATTTGAAGTGGTTTCTGTCCAGTAAAATGTTAGCCAGAATCACAACTACAATGTAGGCAATATCAGAATCCCAAAACACTCCTGGTGGGTTTGAATTATTCAGTCCCTTCCTCTATATATCAGTATATTTACTTCAGGAGATTCTAGTGAAATTGATCTAACTGAAATAGAATAATTCTACTACAGATGATCCCCTGAGTTATGCATTTCGTTCACATGGCTTTGGACAATCAGAATTTGGGGTGAGCTAAAATACATTAAACACATATGGGCTTTCTGAGTAATTAGTAAGCCAAGACCTCAGCATATAATCTTCTGCTATGTTATCTCCAAGCAAAAGGCTCAGTTTACTTTTGCAGCCTTAAATGCTGACGTGTACTTCTTTTGAATTAAATGTACTCTCTGACTTTATAATTTCTTTTTCTTTTAAAAAACACAGTTCCGTCAAAATTAAAGAGTCATTATTTGTTATGTTACCACATTTTGGGGACTATTTTTACAATTCTTTGAAATATATTTCTACTGCTCTTATTTATCAAACCAACAGCCTCTCCACTTGCTTCCCTGTTATGAACATTGGTGTAAGTTTTAAAACTGTTGGTTTTTATTTATTGCCCTTATCTAACCACACTTTATGTCTTCAGATTTCTAGCTTTACTGAATCATTAATCAAAGCAGTTCACATTTGTAAGCTTTTTTTTTTTTTTTTTATGTTGTTATTGAATTTCCTATTTCAAAAGAGCACTCGAGGCCGGATTTGTTTTATCTTCATGGATTTGAATGTGGCAGAGCTTCTCAGTGGCTCTGTATTGCCAGTGCCTTCATTCAAAATATTTTCATTGTGGAAGTGGTTAAATCAAGTCCAAGTGCAGTAAGAGGCAGGATGCAGCCAGATGTCTTTGATGCTTCGGATTTTTGCTTTCAGTTTTCTTGCGCTTATTAATCAGCTCTTTCTGAGTCGTTGTTAGTTGCCATGGAGTCCATTTAGATTCACAGCAACCCCATGTGCAGCAGAATGAAACATTGCCCAGTCCTGTGCATCATCATGACCATTGATATACTGGAGTCCATTGTTGCAGCCATTGTGTATTTTGAGTGCCTTCTAAGCTCGAGGGCTCATCTTCTGGCACTATATCAGATAGTATTCCACTGTTCTTCATGGGATTTTCATTGGCTAAATTTTGGAAGTCTGTCTTAGTCTGGAAGCATGGCTGACATCTGTGCACGATGTGTGATCCTGCTGGTATTTGAAGTACCCCTGCCGTACCTTCCAGCATCCTAGCATCAAGCCACACAAACAACAAACCGACAGATGGAGATGGATGAATTGGTTCTGCATTCTAGCTACTGCTTGGTCTCTTATTAGTCTCAGCCAAACTCAGTAA